CTCTCTCTCTCTCTCTCTCTCTCTCTCTCTCTCTCTCTCTCTCTCTCTCTCTCTCTCTCTCTCTGTGTGTGTGTGTGTGTGTGTGTGTGTACACAGTATTTTACACACACATCCCTAAACAAAAAGTTAAAAAAAATAAACATAGTAATAATAAAATTCAGCGCATCACCAATTCGCACACGGCGCACCGCAGAAGTGCGCGCAAGTATGGTAAATTTGCTTACTAAATGAACTCCAGCGACACGTATGAGCGGGATGTCCTCTTCTTCTTCTTCTTGGTGTTCATCTTCTTCTTCGTGTTCGTCTTCTTCTTCTCTTTGTCCTTTTACATTTGTGCTCTGACCGTGTTCCTCGGACTTTGTGTTGGTGCAGGCATTCCTTATGATGCACAATCACGAATATTCAAGCCCTTCATGCAGGCAGATTCGAGCACCTCACGGCATTACGGCGGGACCGGGATCGGTCTTTCCATCTCACAGCGATTAGTGGAACTTATGGGCGGTTCCATGACATTCACCTCCATTCCCGACGTTGGTACGACTTTCAAATTCGATGTCTACTTGGAAAAAGAAGAAAAACTCCCTTGTCAATCGAAGGCACCCGCGAGTATGATGCCGATCTCGCAACAAAGGCTTCCAGAGGAGGCATCCCGGCTCGCCGGCCTCGTGGCGCTCATTGTGGATGACCGGCCAGTACGACAGCTCGTCACCTCAACCTACCTCCGCCGCCTTGGGATGGACGTTGAGATCGCAGCGACGGTTGAACAGGCTGTCGACACTGTCCAGCGATTGGGTGTGGCACGCGGGGGAAGCATGGGTTCCGGGGGCATTACTCCGGGGACGAAAAGCAGCACAGGAATTTCAGTTGTCCTCGTTGACTGCAATGCCAGCATGTGGACACAGTCAGGGTTCGAAGTGGCGGAGGCGCTCGCGAGCATCGACAGCGGAATCGCGATCCCTGCAGGACATGGAAATGCCTCCCCTGGGAAAGTTGTTGCGGGACCGTTTCCAGCGGTCCCGATCATTTTCATAACCAAAAAGCCTGATCCGGTCCTGGAGCCAAAGGTCAAGAAAACCGCTTCTGCCATGATAGTGTTGAAGCCTCTGCGCCGGGCGTCGCTGTGCATGGCCTTGATTCAAGTCATAGGCTTGGTCACCAATGCCGGAGGAAAGCTGAGAGGTGGAAGTGGGAAAATGGGGTTGTCCATGGCCATCAAAGCATTGCTCAAGGGAAAGAAATTTCTTGTCTGCGATGACAACATGGTGAATCGCCGAGTCGCGAGCAAGATGTTGGAGAAGTACGGCGGAGAGACAGTCTGTGTCGAGAGCGGCCTCAAGGCTCTCGACGTAATGAGGAATCCCGACCACGGAATCGATATGGTCCTCATGGACGTCCAAGTAAGTGGGTTGCTTCCCCTCATCACCTCCCCGTTCCCAATCCACCTCCCCGATCCCAATCCATCTGCCCGATCCCTATCCACCTGCCTGATCTGGTGGCTGTCTGGTATGCTCATACGGCTGTTGATAAACTGATGCAGAGTTCGAGTCCGGTTGTGGGGAGGTTGCATGCTGATTGGAGCTGAGTGTGCGAGAATTGGCGACGCGTCCGTGTGGTGTTGAGTGAGGTGTTGTGCTGAGTTTGGACACTACAGCGGCACAGCCTTGCAGGGGTGGGGTAGATAACACGACCGGTATGGTTCCCACTTTTGAACACTGTGTCCTGGCTGTAGGGGTTTTGTACATCTGGCTCTTTGGGCCAAGGTCTCCTGTTCGAATCTGTGCTTGCACGGAGGAGGGCTGAGGCCCAGATGTGCGGATCCATAACTACAGTTGAATACGACGCGTGCTTGAGAGATCAAGAGAGAAAAAGCAATGAAGTCAAAATCAACACCACGTCAACTCAATTCATGCAGCTCTCAGGCATGCACGAACAACTCGCGCGATATATATAGAAATAGAACACATACTCGATCCAGTGGCTGAATGTTTATTCTCATACATCTGTCAATAAATCAATGAAGAGTTTGAATCCAGTCGAGTACAACACGGTCAGCAAGGGCTTCTCGGCGTACTCGCATTGAGAAATCATGGGTTTCACTCTGAGATTTGGATGGATGAGACTCTGAGCGTAGTTGAAAGGAAACTATATGTCTGAATGGTACACCGCCATGAAGTGTTGCCAATGCAATGATGATACCCCCCTCTCTCTCTCTCTCTCTCTCTCTCTCTCTCTCTCTCTCTCTCTCTCTCTCTCTCTCTCTCTCTCTCTCTCTCTGTGTGTGTCTTGGTGGGTGGGGGGGGGGGGGGGGGGGGGGGGGTGAAATGAGCAGGAAATGCATCGAAGTTTACGGAGCAAGGGCACATTCTGCTATCAATACGCTTAGCGGAAGCGAATGAAGTAATCGAAGATCCGCCGTCATCTCCGAGAGTCCCTATCACGGGGAGCACCCGGCCAGCCGGGTCCCTACCAGGGTCGGGGGCCATGCTGAAGTCGATCGGAAAGGCGTGGTCGGGGTTGGTCAGAAAGTCGGGGCTTATGCAGCAGTCGGGTTCTTTGTCGATGTCGGGAGCGGTGGGGAAATCCGGGGCCTTGCCAACATCAGGCATGGTTGGGAAATCGGGCGCCTTGCCAGCATCAGGCATGGTCGGGAAATCGGGCGCCTTGCCCAGGTCAGGTATGGTGGGGAAATCGGGCGCCTTGCCCAGGTCGGGTATGGTCGGGAAATCGGGCGCCTTGTCCAGGTCCAGCATGATCGGCAGGTCGGGGGCGTTGGCGGGTTCAGGAATGGTCGGAAAATCGGGAATCGTCCCGGGCTCAGGGGTTGTGTCCAGATCTGGTGTGCTGCCTAAGTCCGAAGTAATCAGACGGACAGGATCGATGGGGCACTCTCAGGTGCCGTTGTCAGGAGCCCTGGGCAAACCGGGTGGTCTGCGACAGTCAGGGTCATTCCAAGGCATGAGGAGAATCATACAAAATAAATCCGGCCAGTTTTTTGATTTCCGACGCGATAGCGGCAGGATGAACCCAGACGGTGGACCGCTTGAACCAACATTCATTCATAGCACTTTGACGGGCAAGCTTGCCGCCGACCATTCACACAGCTTTTCTGAAATCTCAAGGTGGTTGCAGAGTCCAGCACCGGAAGAGTATGCGAGCAATGAAGCACAAACGAAGACGGAAAGTAAGTTGAAGTCCGGAGGATTATGGGAAGGGAAATCGGGAGCATCCATACTAAAGTCAGGAGCATCAGTAGGAGGCGAACTGCAAAAGGACCCTCCGCAAAAGCCACGCATTCGGCTTATTGTATCAATAGAAGACACAGGAGCAGGTGAGCAGACCACAAGTTCAATTCACCACTTCTTTATTGAAGGGGTTGGCCCCATGTATTCATTATTGAAGGGGGTGGCCCCCTGTATTCATGGTACGGTGGACCCCGTTTCCGGCAGGTGAGGCTCCCCACCAACAGATGGAGTGGCCCACTAGGCAAAGCCTCAATTCCGGTGGTTCTCTTACCACCACTGGGATAGAGGCCTTGCACAAGGCCTTTTAAAAAAAACAAAAAAAGCACAGGACTTGAACCCATGACCTGCTGCTTCACATTTTACATGTGTCCGTACTGTTCGGCCACATGGCAAGACACAGGAGCAGCCGAGTAATGGCCGCGGAATTTTGTATGCCTTGATGTGTTTGGGATGCTGGACCCGGTTTCCAGCAGGTGTGACGCCCCACCAATAGACTGGAGCATCCAGCGGGCAGTTGCTAGGTGTGGGTGCTCGTATCACCCTTTCTAGCACCCAGACCCTGGTTTAAAAAAAAAAAAAAAAAAGAGACAGGAGCAAGTGAGCAGAGCCCAAGTCCAATTCCGGGAGGTTACCCTAAGCGTATTCTAAGCACAGGACTCGAACCCATGGCCTGCTGATTCACATTGTACATGTGTCAGTACTGTGCAGGCCACATGGGCAAGACACAGGAGCAGTGAGCAGAGTGCAAGCCCAATTCACCACTTCTTTATTGAAGAGGGGACATCCCCCAAAGCTTATTGAACGCAAAGGACTTGAACCCATGACCTGTTGCTTCGCATTTAAATGTGTGAGTACCATTATTTCAGCACATGGGCTGGGTAGCCCGATCCACTATTTACAAATGAGCAAGGGTTCTGTTTTTTTAACAGTATCTTCTCTGACTGAACCTCCCTGCCAGGGGATGCAGTGTCGCCTGAGGCCAGGTCCCACTAGCAGAGAGGATTGGATTAACCGCCTGAATCTGGACTTGTTTGTGGACGTGTGCAAAAATTTGTGATTGACCTGTGCTTTTCTGCACCTCTCCACAAACACGTCCAGATTCAAGCTTTAAATCCTGTCCTCTTTGCTAGCGGGACCTGAATTTTCCCTGGCAGGGATTATAGTGTTGCCTGAGCCAGTGAGAGAATTCAAAGTACAAAGGAGTTGTAGTCAACGCAAAGTAAGCTTACGAGTACACATGTCAAACCTGGACAAACGACTTGGTTGACGTGTGTACTTGTGGTGCACTTTGTGCCAGCAGAGAGGATTGGATTAACCGCCTGAATCTGGACGTGTTTGTGGACGCGTGCAAAAAATTGCGATTGACCTTTGCTTTCCTGCACCTCTCCACAAACACGTCCAGATTCAAGCTTTAAATTCTATCCTCTTTGCTAGTGGGACCTGGCCCCCGAACTTTCCCTGGCAGGGAATAGTGTTTCCCAAGCCAGTGAGAGAATTCAAAGTACAAAGGAGTTGTAGTCAGTGCAAACTGTGCTTACAAATACACACGTCAACCTGCACAGTAAGAGGTTGAAGGTTATGGGTTCAAGTCCTATACGAGTACATTCGTACTTTTTTACCATGTAGTTTTGCTGTGATAAGTAATCCTCCACTACATTGTTTTCAAGTTCAAGTCTACACACGACAACCAGTACAAACGACTTGGTTGAGGTGTGTACTTGTAGCGTACTTTGCGCTGACAACAACTCATTTGTACTTTGAACTCTGCAACTGTGCTCAGCTGGCTTTATTCTCCAGGGAGGAGGTCCACCGACGAAGAGGACTGGACTTAACGCCTGAATCTGGTCCTGTTCGGGGACAGGTGCAGAAAATTGTGAGTGATCATATTTTCTGCATATCTGCATAAAACACATCTAGATTCAGTTGTCTCATTCAATCCTCTTTGCTAGTGGAACTGCATGCCAGGTCTCTTTCCTTCTTTTCTTTGCGAAACAGACAGGCGTTGAAACCTCGGGGGCCGTCGCTCCACTACTCTCCACATGCACAAAAGATGAACAATATCTCGGTGTATTTTCCCATGTTCTAGTGGAAGATTCATTCTCATTTTGCACATCTGGTGAGTAGTGGAGCGAGGCCCTTAGTTCTGGTTTCAAGCATTTTGCAACGTGTTCACACTGTGGCTGTGAGGTTTCGAGATCGGATGGCAGAGACCCATGGATGCTTGAAACCAGAAATAAACCTCATCTAGTGGGGCATGGGTCTTGGAACAGTCCGAACACGTTGTTGTTGTTTCCCCCCCTCTTTTTTTTTCCTTCTTTTTCCCTTTTTTTTGTGGGTTGGGTGGGGGCACAGGCCCACGAACAAGTGGTTTGTGATGACAAGGGCCGGTGACCTCATTAATCGGCATTGTGGTGACAAGCGGTGGTCCAGGAATTTTTTCCAACTGAATACAGAACCCTGCCATTTGTCACAGCACCAGATCACACCAGATTACGGCTGCGACTCTGAGCAGATATCCAACAGCTGATCTCAAACAAGTATTTTTTATACTTCAAAAGAAAAGGGGCAACTTCAGTAGAGTCCCGAAAACGAGTTATAATTGCACTATGGGGCAAGATACAGTTTGCAATTGCACTTGCGGCACACTACCTGGGCAGAAACCTGGGTTGTATACATTGCCCAAAGTTCCAAACTGCAATTTGAAACTGCATCTTGGCCCGTAGTGCAATGATAACTCATTTTTGTCAAATTTTGTGACTCCCACGTAGTTTCCCCTTAAAATAAATTTAAAATTAAATTGATATTAATTAAAATAAATTCAAAATAATTTAAAATAAATTTGTTTACTAAAATCATAAAATGAACTACAGAAGACAGGTGTGAGCAGGTATACAGTGCTATACACTTAGCCTTATCCTTCCTCTTCTTCTTCTTCTTCTTCACATCTAACGTCTTACCAGCCTCTTCTTTTTCTTCTTCTTGTTTTTCTTCTTCGTCTTCTTCTTCTTCTTCTTCTTCTTCTTCTTCTTCTTCTTCTTCTTCTTCCTCCTCCTGTTCTTCTTCTTCTTCTTATAGGAATCATCTTAAACAGGTTCTTCTGACTTTGTGCTGCAGGCATTCCCTATCAAACAATTTTATTTCATTTTTTTAAGTAAATCTCATACTTGCGGCGCATCCCGTGCACGGGGTCACGGCACATGCGGCGCAGAGCGCACGCGCACGCGTGCGCCCTCACGTGATGCAGCGCATCACCAAAAAAAATAATAAAAAAAATTGAAAGGACAGGGTGGGGTGGCCATACATGCCCCTTGCTTCCGAAAATCAAACTGGAAGAGTGAAAACAGTTGAGCACATGTGTGTGCGTGTGGGTGTGCATGTCCTAATTGTGTCCAGTCTCATTTCCGAAGGGGCCCTACGAATTAGCAAGGACCCCTCGTGGAGCAGAGATGGACATTAGACTTCTAGTTTGTCTGCTTGGGCTGAGAATATATAGTCTGGATTCAAATTCAGGTCTGTGCATCATAGTTATGGGTCACTAATTCTCTGTTTTCTCGTTTTTCTTTTGTTCCTGGTTTTTCTTTTGTTTTCTCGTTTGTCTTTTGTTTTCTCGTTTTTCTTTTCTTAGGAATATGTGCAGTGGCCCTAAGGGCCTCTACTCACCGCATGCACAAAAGACAAAACATATGGCGGCGTATTATTCCACGTTCTAGCCGAAGGTTCATTCTAATTCTGCACATTCGCAGTTGCCCTAAGGGCATCTACTCACCACATGCACAAAAGACAAAACATATGGCAGCGTATTATTCCACGTTCTAGCAGAAGATTCATTCTAATTCTGCACATTTGGTGAGTACTGCAGCCAAGCCCTGAGAATCATGTGCAGAGACCAACAGGGCCTAGCGAAGTGAGCAACCCATAACTGCTGAAACACAGACCTGAATACGAATCCTGAGTATATATTCAGCCAGCTCGTACTCCACTTCGTATTCAGTGCCTGCCTCAATTTTGGTGGAGGGTCCTTGCTAAATTGCTGCGAGGACCCTTCAGATTACCGGCATGGGCCCTCTGATACGTGTGAAGGGGATCCTTTGTTCTCTCTCTCTCTCTCTCTCTCTCTCTCTCTCTCTCTCTCTCTCTCTCTCTCTCTCTCTCTCTCTCTCTCTCT